CTCCCTGGTCCCTCCCGATCACACCACCTTGTGTTGTGTCCTGTCCTGCCATATCCTACCTTGCCTTGCCAGTAGGGCTGTGCAAAATATTTAAATCTCGATTTTTTTCAGAATGTTTGACCGACTCGATTTTTAACTAGTCAACTTGAAATGCGAGGAAAATGCTTAAAAAAAATCTCAAAAGTCAAGGTAATTCAAATTCAAAATGATTTAAGGTATAACACAAGTAGACTATTATTAACTATAAATGTCCTGTAAAAACAACAGCAGCTTTCAGCCTGTCACCATGATGCAAACATGAAATATCAGACATACAGTAGTTACAGGTTTTTTACTCACTTGCGCTGCTTTTCCATTGTTTTTTCTATGTAAACATGGACGCATTTGATTGTAAAAAGGGTGTAACACACGCAGCATCCTCTGAGAATTTGACAGGTAAGCACCTGCGAGGCGGATACTACCAACGAAAAACTCAGCATGGTGAGAGAAAAGCATGCGTTCTATAGCTGGAAATACAATAATTATTTTGAGTTTATTTCTAGCAAAGGCAAGAACCTTATTGTGCATTTTCAATTAGCCTATGTGGAAGAACCACGGTTGAACCTTTCAACCACGAAAAACTCCACATCCAATTTAAAACACCTGAAAGGGCAGCACGGCACAGTAAAACTTCTCGAGAAAGAACCAGCTTGGAGAGCAATGCATCAGCTTCTACCGTCGAGTCCAGAGCCAGTGGATTAGAGACCTGCACTCCTGCTGGACCCAACACAACAGAGGGCGGCGCGGAACAAGAGTTGATGATCGAGTGCGTAGAGACACGTGTGTGTGCGGGATGCGGGAGAATAAAATGACCGTTCAAAACGCTGGAGTTCCTGTGCAGTGCTGAAATTTGCGTGCTCACTAATCCTCTCATTATAACACACGAATTGCAGACATTATGCATACATTTATTGTGTTATAACAGAGTTTTGTGAATTGAGATAAAGGGAGCCAATCTTTCCTGGCATTCTTCCATGCCAAACCATGTACGCAGCAGCCGTACACTGCTAGCATTTAGTTAAAAATAAAAGTGGTTTGTGATTGTTGATGCTTTAATTACAAATATTTATCGTGAGTGTTGTTGTGGCTAGGTGACACAAAACTTACTATTTCATGTCAATTTCATGGATGTACAGAAAAAAGTAGCATAACTAATAATGTAACTAACTACTTTTGAAATAAATTAATCATAACAGTAACTTGATTACTTTTAAAAGGAGTAATCAGTAATCAGTAATTTAATCACATTTCCAGAGTAACTTGCCCAACACTGTTCCTGACCCACCGAAGCTAACCATGGTCTGTCCCTCCGGCTCTGCCCTGGCCGTCCACTAGGACTCCCGATGCACCGGATCCTCCCTGGTCCCTTCAATAATATGTGCTTTGTTATGTGTGCATACTGTGGTGTTTGGATTCCAGCACTCGTGTCTAGTTTAGTTATAGTTTAGTGTTGGAGTTCGCTCTAAAATTCCTAAGGTACTGTTGGTTTCTAGTTGTGTCTTCTGTCTTGCCCTGCCCTGCCCTATCCTGCCTTGCCTTTCCAGAGTATTCCCCCATGAGGGTAGTTTTTGTTTTATTATTTAATAAAAGCCCTTAGGGGAGGGGAAGCAATCGAACTCGGGTTCGGATCAAGTGTGACAGCACCCTTATATTCACTCCTTCATGACTTCTCAAGAAAACATGCCTGTACTTTAGTTTGAAAGAGTTCTCTAAATGACACTGTGGTGAGCCAGAGAAGTCAATGGTTGAATATTCACTGCAGAGTTATGAGGCTAAGCCTGCTCACTTTCTGACATTAATTAGTGGAGCACATAGCCGGTGGGCACCATCTGATGCCTGTTATATAAACACTGTAATCGGCTCTGATAACGGCTCTATCCATGTCATTAGCTGTCATAAATGCACTTCCTTGAGGGAATTCATAAAAACATGCTGTTGAATACATCTAGATATCTAAGTGGCAATACCGTGTTTGCTCTTGCAGTCTTTTAGATCTGGATCAAATTCTCCTAAATCACCCTCTAATGTATTCCAGTGTATTCCAATGAAAAATTGCATAAAATCACAAGCGAAACTCAAGAAGACAAATTAAGCAGCAATGAGATGAAGATGATGTCAGGTACTGTCACTGCAGTGTGTTTGTTTCATATAACTGCATTATTGCGGGAAGAGTATCTGTGCTTTTTCATTCTCAGCACAGAATGCATTATGGGATGCCAGTGCAAAAGTCAAATCACATTTATTTGTATAGAGCTTTATACAGTACAGATTGGTTCAAAGCATATTCACATTAAGAAAATGGGAAAATAACTGTTAATGTAAAATTAATCAATTATGAAAAATTCAATTTAGCTGTAAAGCAGCTCTATAGAAGCGAATAGTGTCATTATGCAGCTCACTTTAGTTCAATTGAGTTTACTAACAGTGTTGATGCTGCAAAGTTAGTGTCATTGTCCAGCTCAATTCAGTTCAAATTTAGTTCCCTTTCGATAGTGTCAGTGCAGTGAAATTGATAACATTACTGAATACTATCAATCTGAATTTTTATTTTTGGGTCACCCTCAGGCTCATCTAATTGTGATTATGTGCTAAAAGAAAAAAAAATTTAAGTTTAACATTTTATTTTTAATATATCAAGGCATGTATAATGGGGAATGTACTGCATAGTGGTAATGAGCCATTTACTCAGTAACTTCCACAGTCTCATTTAACTCCAGGGCAGGGCTGGATTAACCGTATGCATATTCAAGCATACACCCATGTGCACACATATCAAAATTTTCACACGTGTACACAGTCTCCTGCTCCTGGCCAGTTCAGTCCAAATGTTTTTGGCCAACACTCACACACATCTTCATCACATCTGTCCTCACTGGCATTTTTCCCCAAAATACTCAATCAGGCTTCCACTGCTTAAAACCCACTCTAAACCTCCACACAATCCCTGAGGCTTGCAGGAGCTGCCTCCAAACTGTCTGTCCTCATTCTCCTCATTGCGACACCATTAATCACCAGATCCTCCTATCACCGGATGTCACAGCAACTCTGCTGCTCTGAGTCCTGCTTCACAGGTAGATCCTTCAGGGTATCTAGTCAAAGCCACATCAACCTGTTGCATCCACAAGCCCTGCAGCCCAGTCGTGCTGATTTGCATTCATCAAGAAGATCAAGTCTTTTTATACACAACACCTCGTCTGGACTCTTGTCATCCCTATACTGCATTACTACATTAATCCTTAACCAAAACTCAGCAAATGACTCAAAATGCAGCATTTCTTTTGGACTTTAAAGAGCCCAAGATAATGCACATTTCACCTCTCTTCACTTTATGAATATAAAAACCTTTGTATTACAGAACTACTCTATTACTGCCTCCTCAGGATGAAACGCTTATGTTGTATTCCTCATTTGCATGTCACATAAAATAAAAGTACCTGATAAATGAATAAATGCAAAAAATGTTGCAAGATAAAAAGTGATTCCACTTGTCTGCTTTCTACTTTGTCACTGCTATGCTGCAATAAACTTCTTCTCCATTGAGATCTTCAACGTCCTCATAATTTCTTCTCACATTACAATTATCCATGGCTCAAGCCCCGGTAGATTACCACTCGCATCCAAGTACAGAAGCTGAGGTTCTCGCATCTTTTATTCTCAGACTGTCTTTGACGCCTGTGACCAGACCGAGTTAAAAAGCTTTTAAGCCAAGGAACAAAGAACCCGCGGTTTGAGTCCAGCCCTCTTCCTCATTAGTGACTGCCACTAAACCTTTAGATAACCAGCCACAGAAGAAGAAGGAGATACCAATTCTTCTGGAAAGAGACACAGCAGGAAACAGGAAGGCAGAAAGAGAGAAGGAAGTGAGTCATCAAAGAAAGAAATAGAGCAGTTGTGATGAACTGAAATGATTTCAGCTCATCTGTGAATCACAACATTGAGTTTCTCATGCTTCAGACACTGATTCTGAGGGCGTTCTTCACAAACTGTACAACGTGGTAATCTGCAGTTGTTACTGTGAACACGTAAAGATTTGTTTTGTTTGGTATAGATGTATTTAGGTTGATTCGGTGATGTGAAATAATATTTCTGACTTAAACAAAACCAGTTATTATTTTTTACAATTATTTCTAGTTTACCACTTTTTCAATGCAGTACTTCCTCAAACTTTACATATGTTCGTATATGAAACCTGTTTGCCCACTTCTTGATATGATTACACAGTAAATGTCTTTAAAACAGAAGCAAGATTGGGTAATTTGGTTGCTCTAAAAAAAATGGTGCTAAATTGCACTAAAAGTGGTTCTTTGACTCGTAATCATAGGGGAACCACTTCAAGTGCTACAGAGCACCTATATTTTTAAAGATGGTGCTAAAGCACCTTAACCACCCAAAAGAACTGCTGAAGAACCATTACACGTTCTTTATAGGTGCTATTTAAGTAGCACTTAAATTGGTTCCCCTATGATTACGAGCCAAAGAACCTATATAGCACCTCAACTACCACAAAGAACCACTGAAGAACCAATTTTTTTTGTGTGTGTCCTGAACTCTTATGCGTGTTTTTCCTCATTGGCATGTAGTTTGTTCATGTTTTACACTTAAACCATCAGGCTTTGAACATCTTATTTCTCTTATTTTTATTACAATACTTTTATTAGATTTGTGATTGCAGTAACTATCACCCCATTTATTAAAACCACTTTAAATGACGCTGCTCATTTATCTTTTTTCTTTCTCTTTATTCACTCGTCTTTACTTTTTACTATCTGTGTATTGCTGTTTACTGCAGTTGCTGAAGCTTCTGTCACGAAGTGTGTGTAAACATACTTTACAATAAATCTGATTCGGATTCAGTCAAACAGGATTGTAATTCTTGTTTTCATTTCAAGGCTCAATCCTGACATGCACCAAGTGACAATCAAATATAATATGAACACACAGTGAGGGTGGAGTAGATCTACCTTTGGTTTCGGTGACTGATGACACCTCACTCTCCACTTCCTCTTCCTGCGGCAGCTCCTCGACCTTCCGAACTTTACAGGGCCGACCAACCCTGAGGGAGAACATCATCAGAGCAAGACACACAGGCAGATGGGATATGTGACTGCAACTCTGTTCAGAATAGAGCACTACCATACTATTCTTACTATGCTGTATGTAGTGTGTATAGTTTGCAAACTACAAATTGATTACAACACTCCAGATCTGCATGTGAGAACAGCTGTTTTTCTTTCTGAGATGAATACTGGACAACACTCATCATGTGACATCAGACTGTGTAGGCGGTATAAAGCATATACTGCACAGTATGCAGCAAGCTAGTATTCCAATTCGAACGCAGCCGCAGCTTTGAATGGCTTACTACACAGTGTGTCGGGCAAGACTACTGTAGCTCATATAAGGATCATCTATTGTGCATGCGCTGATCTGTTTTGCACAAAATTCCTAACAAGTATTTATGGCCAAGGTATGATTTTGCATATATTTTGAACAGAAATTTCTCAAGGATATTTGTGAACAGCTGAACAGGAGAAATGCAATCTCAGAATAAATAAACGTGTGTCTTCGGAGATGTTGTTTAAAGCATCTCTGTCGTGACATAATGAGCGATGGCACGACCTTCCGAAGTCATCGCAACAGTTTGCAGCAATATGTTTGGGTGAAAATGAAGCTTGTTGACTAACAGGTCATTATATCATCAACACAACTGAGAAAAATCATTTTACTCTGAGTAAATAATGAATCAGCCTGTTAGACAGAAGTGTCAGTGCAGTGAAATTGATAACATTACTGAATACTATCAATCGGAATTTTTATTTTTGGGTCACCCTCAGGCTCATCTAATTGTGATTATGTGCTAAAAGAAAAAAAAATTTAAGTTTAACATTTTATTTTTAATATATCAAGGCATGTATAATGGGGAATGTACTGCATAGTGGTAATGAGCCATTTACTCAGTAACTTCCACAGTCTCATTTAACTCCAGGGCAGGGCTGGATTAACCGTATGTATATTCAAGCATACACCCATGTGCACACATATCAAAATTTTCACACGTGTACACAGTCTCCTGCTCCTGGCCAGTTCAGTCCAAATGTTTTTGGCCAACACTCACACACATCTTCATCACATCTGTCCTCACTGGCATTTTTCCCCAAAATACTCAATCAGGCTTCCACTGCTTAAAACCCACTCTAAACCTCCACACAATCCCTGAGGCTTGCAGGAGCTGCCTCCAAATGTGTGTGTGTGTGTGTGTGTGTGTGTGTGTGTCAGAGGACAGCAGTGTGCATCCGGCCAGACCTGATGTTTATTTTATTTATTTTTTTGCATAGACAATTAAGTCTTTATTAGGAGGTTTTATTGCAATGTGACATTATCTTGTCAACACATTTCCCCCAGACATTCTCATTACGGCAATGTAAAACAATTTAATTCTCATTACTATAATACATAATTACTTTTTCTTATATTATTTAAATTGTAAAATCATCACTTTTACAACCGTCTAACCTTACCGAATGAATTGTTGACCCAAGAAGTGGTTCAGGACTGTGAAGCTTTTGGGGGTGTTGATGGAAGCAATTGACTCCATCTATGTTTTGATCATTGATCTGAATCCAATCCGGACAAAAACTTTGACACAAACACCATTTTCTCAGATTGTTTTTTTCAACATCTTGCGTTTTTTAAAAATTATTATTATTAAATTTACCCACATTCAAGTGCTGATAAGAATGCATTAGACTGAAATAAAAAGGTTTCTTTTTTTAATTAACCCTAGTAAAAAATAATACATTAAAATACATTTATTTCCTACTGAGTATATTTCAAATCTATTAACATATTTACTGACATACCAGATTTACTGATATAAAAGTTTTAATTAAACTTTATTTGGAGAACTACTTGTGCACAACACACATTTCTTAATATTATGCCTGAAATGTGTTTTAATATCACTATTAATAAGGATTGTATAATCTTTGAATAATATCGGTCTTTAAATGCAAGATATTTAAAGTGTACCTGAAGTATAGTTCCACTTCAGCACAATCAAATATACTTCAGTATATCTTTAGTTGGACTTCAGCACTACTTCACAAAATTAAAGTGCATTAAGCACAAACATAGTTGTTCCAATTTAGCAGACTTAATATGTAAATGTATTTGGAGTATACTTAGCATGAAATAAATGTTTATTTTTCACTAGGAAAAAGCAGAGGCTCTGTTCTTTCGTTTGCCATATTGCATTTTAGAAGTTCAGATATACAACTAAATATTCTGGGGGCATCAAAAAAGCTGGTGGTGGCTGACAGCTTTTTTTAAACAAAACACTGGCAGGGAGAGAGTTAATAATATTTACTTTATTACATTAATGAGAGTAGCAACATACAATTTTTATTTTTATGCCAAATGAATCACCAAGAGAGTGACTGAGCCTAACCTTCGCTTGGTCTCCGTGCCAACGGGCTTCTTTGGCGGCGTTTCCATGGCAGCGCTTGCCGTGCTGGGTTTCTCCGGGTGTGATGGGGCAGAGGTGACGGGTTTGCTGAAGAAACAGAGGCGAGACGGTGATAAATGAACACATCACTGAAGGTGTGAAAGATGCCAGGCGTGACAAAGTCCTCCGTTTTATCTCAAACAGCACAGGTGTGCTGTTCAGGGCCTGACAGGTTTTGATAAGCAAATCAAGTCCAAATATGCTGATTTATGCTAATTTATTTACAATAGCAAGTGTTATACTTCACTGAGCTCACCTTAAAATAAACAAATAAGTACACCAATTCAAATTCCAGATTATAATTTGAGTGGCCATATTATACACTTATGTCAAATTTGACATTTGATTTTATATTTATTTTCCATTTGTGTCCACTATTTGCTATTCAAGTATCTTGCACCAAAAATGCCTTAATTTAGTAATGGTGAATGTCTCGGTTACGTATGTAACCCTTGTTCCCTGAAGGAGGGAACGGAGATGTCACGTCAGTGACCGACGAATTGGGATCTCGTCTGAGAGCCCTATCATCTTCGAGTGTAAATTAAACGAGCCAGTGCACATTGGCATGCGATAATTTCATCCAGCTGCTGCTCGTCACGACGCGAACATAAGTAGGCAGCCAGTGCATATTCAGGTTTTTGTTGAGGAGCTGAGCCAATGACGTCTCCGTTCCCTCCTTCAGGGAACGAGGATCACATACGTAACCGAGACGTTCCCTTTCAGTCGGTCACTCAGAATCACGTCGGTGACAGACGAATTGGGATCCTTAACAAAGCGCCACTATTGCTGTAAGCCCTAGTAAGCCACCTGGTCCCCCCATGGCAACTGGGGCGGAAGATAGGACAGGGCTTACGTGGAGAGAGTCTATTACTGTTGTTTTACTAGACCCATACAGTAAGACTTATTGGATAACACTGGGAAAGCGTACCCTTTCCAGGGATGCTGCGGAATCCACATCTTGCTCGCAGGGAGGTATCATGTGGAGATTACACACATGTACTGGGCATTAAGGGCAGTACAACATATGGAATGTCTCTGAGGAGGCTCCGGCCCAGTTAGGAGGGAGGCAACACCGTCAGGGACGGCAGAGCGGAGTCTGCCAAGGGAAAGACACGGGCTCACCAAGAGGGGAACCGTACCGTGGAAGAATACACACATGGGATCACCATGGGGATCACAACATATGGACACCTAGCCTAGCACCGGGGTCAACCAACAGGCATACTTACAAGTGTTAGGCCTGATGCCGGATGCTCCGCCACGTCTGGATGCCAAGGGTGATGGAGGAACTCCACAGGGTTCGCCTTGTGAGGAACTGAACTGAAGAGCAGAATAAGCGCACGTATCCAGTCTGTAGAGGGGAATGGTGCACCAAGCGAGACACCGAGCAGTTCCTCTGGTTTTACTGGCTACTCGAGGCGAGTACACAAGAGGACACTGGCTCTACATGAAGGCTATAAAACCTAGCAAACGTGTTTGGTGTCGCCCAGCCCGCAGCTCTAAATATATCTGTCAGCAAGGCGCCTTGCGGCAACGCCCAGGAAGAAGCAACATTCCTTGTTGAGCGTGCTCTCAACCCGAGGGTGCAATGCCTTTCCCTTCTGCAGGCCTCCGTAACAGGTGAAGAGCTGCTCTGAGGTCCTAAAGCTCTGCGTGCGGTCCACATATATGTGTAAAGCGCGAACGGGACACAGCAAAGCTAGGGCTGGGTCTGCCTCCTCCGAGGGCAGCGCTTGCAGGTTCACCACCTGATCCCTGAAAGGTGTGGTGGGAACATTGGGCACATATCCTGGTCAGGGTCTCAGGATAAAGAGAGAGTTAGTTGGCCCGAATTTCAGGCACGATTCATTGACCGAAAATGCATGCAGGTCCCCTACCCTCTTGATGGAAGCCAGCACAGTTAATAGCACTGTCTTTATCGACAGAGTTCTCAGCTCTGCACACTGCAATGGCTCAAAAGGGGGATCAAAAAAAGATCCCAAGAGGGTGCGGGTTTAGGGCGATGAGGATTTAGTCTCCTCGCGCCCCTCAGGAACCTGATGATCAGGTCGTGCTTTCCTAAAGACTCACCGTCTACAGCAGGGGTTCTCAACCGGGGAGTCGCGGCCCACTAGGGGGCCTCAGTGATCCTCCAGGGATGCTGCAAGATAGCTTAAATTAATTTAAATATTATCCTATAATTGTTTTATTTCATTATTAATATGTTAAATTAAAATGATCAAAGCAAAAATGATCTCTCTCATGTTCTGTGATTGATTGCTTCGGACTCGGCGCACCAAGCCTCATCGCACTGTTAAATACAGACTGAATGGCGGCTCAAAATTTCCAACCGCTGCACGCAAACTAAATCTCTTGGCTGCATGAAGCAAACCGTCATGCTAACGTAAAGGTAAAGACGATTAGAGTAATAATAACGAACTTGCTCGTGCCCATAATGTATGACACTCCTGTATATCAAAGTCATAGGCTACATTAGGCACGCATAAGTCCGCTATTGATTCACAAACTATGCGCGCTCTCTGGGCTCTGATCCCTATTGTATTTTTGCATGAAATTTCATAGTGTTTTATAATGGATGCTCACCCATAGAGGAGGATCTTGTGAGGCTCAGTGGTGTTTATGCACATATGAGCATCCTACGTGCTCTGACGGAGGAACTGTTCACTGATCCCGTCTTCGTTGAACCGCCTTCAGATCGATGTTTCAACAGATATAGAATGTATGTCTCATATTTACATCATATAGTTAAGCAATATCACACGAGCAATAGGCTAAATGCAATATCACATGAGTGCAAATGTGATACTGATCTTATACAACAGTTCAATAAGTAACTGTTGTATAAGTAATAATATTGTGTTATTTTAGACACAATGTTGTCTGTTTTGCTCAATTTTGCCAACGAAAATATGAAGACAAAGCGAACTGTTAATCTCTGAGCAACACACAGCGGCATTTCATTTCTTAATGCACGTTTTGAACGAATTGGGTGAACCATTTGGCACGTTGAACCAGCACAGACCGATCGGTGTAAGACATCAAAGTACCGCGAAAGCGATTCAAAAGCATAAGTAGCCGTCTTCTCTCTATAACTCTTGCGGTACTTTGGTGTCACACATGATCAATCTGATGGTGATGATCCACTTCAAGTCGAACAAGCCTAATGATTCAATGGACCATTCATAAAGAACCATTTACTTCACTCCTGAATGAATCAGCCATTTGAACAAATCAAAAGACTGAATAAATGACTCGATGACTTAATCATTAAGACATTTACCACCACCTACTTGCAGTTTTAGTTTATTATTTAGAGTATCATTTCATTAAAAAATAATTTCATATTTCCACCATTTACTTCACTCCTGAATGAATCAGCCATTTGAACAAATCAAAAGACTGAATAAATGACTCGATGACTTAATCATTAAGACATTTACCACCACCTACTTGCAGTTTTAGTTTATTATTTAGAGTATCATTTCATTAAAAAATAATTTCATATTTCCACAGTAATAATAATAAAATTAATAAAATTAATTATTAAAGGTATAGTTCACCCACTCAAAAATGACAATTGTGTCAAAATTTACTCACCCTCATGGTCCAAAAGAGTATATGTATTAAATTTTATTTCAAAAAAATATATTTCTTGCTGAAGCTACTTTTTGTAATGTCTGTTTGATGCTTTACACAACAATGACTTTAAATTATCTTTTAGGAGTCATTTCTCAGCCAAATTTCATTTGCGATTAATTTTCGATTAATTAATCGCCACACCATGTAATTAATTAGATTAAAAGTTTTAATCGCTTACCAGCCCTAATATATATATATATATATATATGTGTGTGTGTCTGTGTGTGTGTGTGTGTAGATTAGAAATGTTGAAATGTTAGAAACATTTCAAGGTATTAATTTATAGAGTTTTGTTTGAGGCACTTGGCTGAATGTATTTTCGCACGTTTGCCTACAAGATATGAGAAACAAAAATATAACAAATATAAATGTACAGACACTGACACTACTACTGACAGGTTTATTAATATATTCGGATCGCCTGAATTGCTTTTGAGCACTAAAAAATGAGGAGAAACATGCAGCAAACAGACATGTATCAGGAATAACTGGCTGGAATAGCAGACCATTGAAATATTCAATGCATATTAATTCTGGATAGATTAAGATTTTGAGAACAAACTTTACAGACATCACCAACTATTTTCTTAGGTGTTTCTAATGCAGATTGTTGCACCATAACCTGCTTTAACTTTCAAGCCGACCTTGAATGAATGATGTACAGTATGGTTGCACACCACTCTGTTATTGTATAAACATGTCAGTGAGCAAAACTAACTGTTATTGGTTGCGGTGCATCCCATTCAGATGACCTCGTCTCACCTATGTGGCTGTATTGGCCAGCTGAAGCAGCTATAGAGATCAAACCATATGCTCTCAGTCAAAGATCTGGCAACACAAGACTAGGTAGTGTGTGATATTCAGTCATTTAGTGCATGATGCCCAGTTTTTTCTCTGTAACCATTTACAAAGTCACCAAGTGTATGATACCTTGTGTTTTTAAATCTGTTCAGATTTGAAAAGTCCTTTAAGTGACACTCAGGCTGAAGTCTCTGATTGCATCTCTGACATGGTTATCAACATTCAACCTTTCAAATTACTAGACCAGAAACATCATGAGCTGACTCTGAGGTAATAATTAAGAAATGTATTTAAACAGGGTGCCTGTCAACTAAAGGCGCAGCTCGAGAGTAAAGACAGCTTCATTAATAATAACGGCAGTCATTTAGTTTTAATGCATCGCAAAATGCCACTCTTGTCTGCTGTAGAGTTATAATGAAACGGCTTGCTTCTGCTACTGTACCTTTAAAACTATGTAAATGAACTCTGTAATGATTGGCTAAACTCTTTACTCTTTAATCGTGTCTCCATTAAGTTACTGAACACTGAACACATGTAGATGTGCTAATGTGGGCGATCATATACAGTTAGGTGCATACATTTGCATAGTATTCCCAGTTTATAAACCTCTTGCAGAATTTATACAAATATGAAAGATCTTTTGTTTGTTTGTTTTTTAGTTACTACTGTCCTTCAGAAACCATAAAGTAAAATCAATTCACATGGATCTTCCAGTTAAAAAATTTACACCCCCTGCTCTTCGTGCATTGCACTGCCTTCTTGAGCATCGATGAATGTGTGCAGCTTTTGTAATAGTTGCATACGAGTCCCTCAGTGTGAAAAGATGGCTCTCAGCATCACAGTCATGGTTGTGGTGTGATAATCATTAATCTTTCCCAGTCAGTTCTGCAGTTTGGGTTTGCTGGAGCGGGAGTTGCGTGACACCCAGTACTGTACATCCAACTATTATTTAAGGGGTTTTCCATCATTTGAGCTCTTTAAATATTTCAGCATAACCCATCAGAGAAACGAACACTCACTCATTAGCGTCAGCTGAAATCTCTGCGCTTGGTTCTGCTCTGCGTGGCCGACCCACTCCGCTTCCCGGCATCTCTCCGCTCAAGCGATCCGGCAGAACCGAGTCCTTATTCAGGTTGATGTCAGAATACGGGCAACCCACGGCACTGAAACACCAGGAAACACCGATCAATTAAAAAGCATTTCATCTGTCATTGCAGTTCAGTAGCCGTGCTTTGTATCTAGTCACGGGTCTTAAAGTCTTAATTCATACTTTCACAAATTAAGGCCTAAAAAGAAAGTCTTAAATGCATAAAGTCATGGCATTAAATGATGCATGTACTAGCTATCATTTATTCTGAGTATTGCTCAGTTGGGTAGTGTTTCCTGATGAAAAGTTAATAATTAATTATATCAAGAGTCCAATTAAAATAAATGGGGCTGTGTGATAATCGTGATTACAGCTGATTCAATCAAATAACTTTACAGTCTTCTGCACCTCGTATACCGGTTCATACCGAATACTGGTGTTTATTTTTGTTATGATATGAATTTTTAAAATACTGCAATACGTATGTCTCTTAAACAACGTTGGGAACGCGACACTGTTTGAAAGGGGTCTCTTTTCACTGTTGCACTGTGGTGAGGGAACAGTTGTACGTGTTACGAAGCGTGAAAGTTCAGAAACTGAAGCTGTAGAACTAATAGAACGTGATGACACAGAAGAACTCATCCACAATATCCACACTGACCTCCACAAATATCCAGCGCCCCTGCCATCAGCTCCCGCGTCTCACACACACCAGCGTGACTTTAGCACTAGATTTAGCAACTTTCAGACCCTTTTAGCTGCTTTTTTCCATAGAATATTCATACTGACAAACCTAGAGACTTTTGGATAAAGCTTAGCTATGGTTCAGTTGGAGGATTTCTCCAGTGCTGTCCCGCGAGCGTGAGGTCTGAGTTTCCCGGAGAAGTGTCGCCTCTCTCGGCGTCTGTTCTGTGCAGTGAGCGGCAGAGAAGCACCGCAGCCGACTCGTCAATAAATGAGTACAAAACAGCGTTTCCAAGCACCTGTCGCGTACTGATTGTTTGGAATTATAAATATGAGCGTAATTCATCTGTTAATATCACATGCACTTTTTAGTTTGTTGTTGTTTTTAGTTTGTTACTCAGACGCAGGCAGTGCGCTGCATGAGACAAAAAAGTAATCTAGCCAAAACAACCACATAGCCGCTCTTTAGTGTAGATGCATGCTGAGTTTATCAGACGATGCCGTGATTATAAATGAGAGTGACTCCTGGTTAACGTATTAAAGGGGGTCGTGTTTAGTCACTATTTAGTGTGGTATTTTTGGACAATATTCACTCATGACAGTAAAATAGGGCATTCTAAGTCAATATACTGCAGTATTTCCTCTCAATCAGTAGAAGATATGGTTAACACCCGCTCATGCATGAAAAAAAATACCGTCATGTACCGTGAAACAGGTATAATTTTGAAAAATACCGTGATATAAATTTTTGGTCATAACGCCCAGCACTAATCATTAGTCAGGTTAGACTGAGCTAGGATATGCTGAAGATGATATTCAGGGTAGGCCGGGCGATATGGCCAAAAATATTATCACAGTATTTTTTCCACATCATATCGATATTTATCATGATATTTATTTATCATTAATGGGGAAGAAAATACTTTCCACACGTTTGATAGACCTTGAGAATGAATGTAAAGATAATTTGTTTGTTCACACTTAAGCTACCTTTTAATTTAGGGCCCCATGAAATTGGTTTTATTTCCCCATAAATCCTGTTTTCCCTTTTATTTTTTCCTGAATTCTGTGTTTTATGATTCAATACAAATGTATCATTAAAATGGTGTCTAATTAAATGAATTAATAAAACTTTAACAAATTATTATTATGTAATAAAATTTAAAACATTGCATTTTTAGTTTTTTTGTCAAATAATATGCTGCACAACACTACTATATAACAATTAATACTTATATTTTATATATTTAAAATAACAATATGAATCATTATTATTATTATTTGAGAATTACATTTTAGCATACAATCATAATACATTTCTGTCATAATTTGTTCAAGTTAAACCAGACTTTTAGACAGGCTGCCATGAAGTTCTTTCAGTGTGTCTTAGTTTCCTCAAAGTAAATGGTAAAAAGCTTGTGACTCTCAGAGCAGCTCTGTAGATGAAGTTCATGTGTGTTCATCTCTCATATATTGAGATGCAGACGCTGAAAACACAGTGAGCATCACGTGTGGCTGAGTTTGTGTATCAGATGAAACCGCGCCATTCATTCACACAGACACACAGACCATGCAGAGTCAGCCTATTAGCATCACATGCTTATTTGACACACGAGAACCAATGCCACACAAGCACATTTGAGCTTACGTTTGCCATATTTGATAAACAGCTTTTTATCTCTGTTGCTTGGTACCGACTATGCAGAAGACGGAGAAATGCATGGATACTGTAGCTTTCTTGCCTCGCTTTTGTTTTTGTTTTTCCGAAGTGCAACAGAGAATGGCACATGTACAAATTTAAAGCAGTATGTCCATTTCTGCTGAAGGCAACGGGAAATGAGATCTAAACTGAAAGTGAGTTGAGAAATGCACAGTTTGACCAATTCATACTTCAGCAATAGGGGTTCATTTAGTACGATTAAGTTCACATCAGAAACAAACTATACTGGAGTCTGCATGAATTGTATCATGAACCAGTGGTCTGCTTGAACAGTGTTCAAATTATCGAGATTAACCAAACTCTGATGTCAAACAAATAAACCTACACACAGATTCACACTGACCTGTGGTGTCCAGAGTAGCGGGCTCCTTTGATGTGACCCACTCCCTTACAGCCTGGCGTGGGACAGCCGCCCTGCTCAGACGTCTCAAACATGTCCCGAGGAGCTATGAAGAAAACACACAGAAACACATCACATCATCCTCACTCAATATCAGCTTACACATGGAGTTGTCAATGACTGTTTGTGATAAGTGATTACACAGTACACACATGAGCAAAATCAAATGTAACAAAATCAAATGTAATATACAGATATGGGTGTTTTTTTCAGCTTTCGACACTTTTATGTCCCAAGGGTTGATCGGTCTTCAAATTAACAGATATAAAATGTGTTCTTTTTGTTACATGAAAGTCACATAACATTTGTTTTTTTTTACATTTGAAGAGTTCAGATGCAAAAGCCTCTATGTGCTGTCTGAAATGTTCTTCTAAAACGGCACATAGAGGCTTTTGCATCTGAACTCTCCATGTGTTGACAAACACTTTCAATCTTCAAGTAAAATATGAAAATCCATTATAAAAACAATAAAAATCCAAACAAAGATCAAAATACAAACCTTTACTATATTTATTTTGTCAAATGATTCATATCCATTTTTATACAAATTATTATGGTTGTGTCCCAGTTGTGGAGTCATTTCTGCAATCATGAAAAATTTTAATAAGATTTAATCAGAAGTTAGTGTACTTGTTTACCAAAGAGACAACCAAGACAGAGTAATTAAAGTTATTAATAGAGTACATATAGATTTATATCGAGAGTGTATATAGACTCCGGTATAGATTCATATATAGAAAATATATAAGACTCAAGAGTATATATGTGATGGGGACCACAAAACCAGTCATAAGGGTCAATTTTTTGGAAATTGAGATTTATACACCATCACAAAACTGCATAAATAAGCTTTTTAAAGTTTGTTAGGATCAGACAATATTTGGCCAAGATACAACTATTTGAAAATCTGGAATCTGAGGGTGCAAAAAAATCTAAATATTGAGAAAATCATCTTTAAAGTTGTACAAATGAAGTTCTTAGCAATGCATATTACTAATCAAACATTAAGTTCTGATATACTTACAGTAGGAAATTTACTAAATATCTTCATGGAACATGATCTTTACTTAATATTCTAATGATTTTTGGCATAAAAGAAAAATCTATAATTTTGACCCATACAATGTATTGTTGGCTATTGTTACAAATATACCCCAGCGACTTAACACTGCTTTTGTGCTGCAGGGACACATATAGACTCTGATGGATATATTCTCTTTCCCTGGTTTCTCTCTCTTTTCTCACACTCGTTTTGTTTCTCTCTCTCTCTCAGTAAGTCGGTCACATCCTGATGCCAGTTGCTGATTTCTAAACATTGCTCCGATCTGTTTCCATGGACACAGAGGAAGGGAACGAGAACGAGAAGAAGATTATCAGCAAGACTGACTAGAGAAAAGCTCATTGTTCAACAGCATTTTCCCAGCATCCTCTGGAGCTAATAGAAGATATTGATAAGAGAGGAAGAGAGGACTGTTAGACGCTCCATCCCTCTTTTATACCCACATCTTTCCTTCTCTCTCTACCGGCTACAATTTTCCATGAAATGAAGAGGAAAATGGCTGTCATTTCGAGAGTCTGAGGCAGTCTATTTACAGATGATAGAGAACGCTGTTTGAGTGGCCATTAACTCAGCATTTAGGGCTGGGATTACAGTATGTTTCGTCTGAATCACTGAAACATCTTGTTGGAAACTGTCAGTACTCTCTCTATCTCAAAACCCTAGTGCAAAAACATCTGTGTAAAACACACTTGCTCTGCGTTATACACACTACACAAAACAATCTAATCTTAGTCAGTTTCTTGTTTTGTTGGGAACATCTCCATGTGTCCCACAAAGTGAATGAGAGGAACAATGAATTTCAATAGCGTCAGATGTTAGCATGTTGCACAATATTAATAGGTATATAAAACAAATTTATCCATTTTAAGTAGATGCAAATATTTCTTTGATATATGCAGTACTGAATAAAATATACTTTCTTTGTGCATTGCCCATCTTATCTGTAAGAATACATGTGATGCTGCCTTAAAATCACAGCCAAGTGTCTTCGAAGGCCTCAAGTCTTGCTGCGTGACATTTGCAACAACCGTTCCATCACAAGCGTGTCTCTTAGCTGAAGTTTGTGTGAAATCTGTCTGCACTCACTGATGGGCGGCTGCAGTGGATGTCCGGTTTTGGCGCACCACCCGGCAGGATGAATATCTGGGCTGTCTGCATCGATCCAGTAATCATATTCTTCTGTCCAGCCATCAAAATGGACCTAAAAGAGAGCAATGCAGATCACTCTTTTACCATGCTAAAAAAACAATAAAGCTGCGTCCCAAATGATGCACTATACAAATACATTGTAAAATCTTTGACATTTAAAGATCATGGTAAAGTTTATAATTCGTTCTTGTTTCAAACATAAACCTACAAAATGAATTGAATTAATTTAGTAAATCTCCAGATTTGCTAACAGCTTGCACCAGAAACCGCTTTTGGTGTTAAAAAACTACTGGCAGGGTTTACTATAGTCACACAGTGAAACATTAGTGATGAAAAGTCGTGAACACCGTTATTTTTGCAACCTGAACCGGTTCAAGGAACGAAAACGAAAACCGAACGAAATTTTGACAGGAACAGAAACAGAAACTAAATCAAATTTTATAGTTCCGAACAGAATCGAAAATTTTAAATGGCCATTAACCGGTTAATAACGTTATTTTATCGTTCCATTTATTATATTACATTTGCTGTCAACCAATCACGAATTCCAGAAGTACGGCCTGCAAATGTGTCACTGAGGCATCCAGCGAGTGAAATGCCCGCGTTCAGCTGTGAACTCATCAGAGGAAAGTCGCAATGGCAATGCACCGGCGTTAGAGTTTATCCTAGGATAGCGTAAGAAGGATTCAACAGATCACACGCAACTGCAGCGCTTCTGTGAACGGAGAAAACAGAATAAAACTATAGGCTTACATAAAAATAAATATATAGGCATATACACAAAATATATTTCACTTAAATCATTGACAGATTAACAAAACTAAAGAAAAAAATGTGAGTTACGGTTCATTGTGACACGTTCCAAAGTTCTCGGAAAGGAAAGCGAGACGGCAGAAAGTAGTTTTATTTATTTTGCAAAAGCTTGACAGTTTTGAATTATGTTTTGCTTATACCTGTATAACCAACCAGCGTTGGTATGACCATCGCGGCGGCGCCTCACGCACACACAACATTTTGCGGCATTGCAGCCTGTTCATTATCAAAATAAAATACAGTTAAAGAAACAAATAAAAGTTACACTGCTCCGTTGTTCAATCTGTTGCGTTCAGCGTGACCACCTGATATAGCCGATGTGAAGGATGATGTTTTACGTCGATGAAAGTACAAAGCCTATAATATTTTAGCATGTAAATACGTCGCGAATATGTAAACATATGGATCCGTGCCGAATGAGAGAGGTAGGCATCAGTTTCACCTTAAATTAATTCGTTTTTGGATTGATGTATTTATAGCCTAAACGCATAGCCTTAACTTTAGAGGATTTGTTGTGGAGAGAAACTAACTGTGTTTATAATGTTTGTAAACATTTTGCTTAAGCCTTCCGGCATTTTAGCCTACATTATTTCTGAATGTAATAGGGCTAATAAAATGCGACGTGACCTTAGACTTTCTTCACTCTCAAAACGCAATCTTATACAAGTAGCGGTTTTTTAACAATGCAGCAAACATTTTTAAATATCTTAAAAAATACTTTAATGCCTTTAAAGTGTTAATAGATTTTTTCTTTTGTTTAGTAGCCTACATTTGGCGAAAATCTAGAAAAGATGATGCTGTATTTATTGGCTGTGACTATGTGCAGCGGATTAAGATCATTAGGATCAAGAAAACATTGTACTTTATTATTATTATTATTATTATTATAGGCAAAGAAAATAGTTTTTAAAAAATTAACGTTATTAACCGGTATTTCTTCTACTCGAACCGGTTTCGGAACGGTAATAATACAGAGGAACGGAGGAACAGAAATGTTAAAATATCGATTCTGCTCGGAGTGAACTGATTGATTTTTTTTATTTATTTCAAGCCCTGATTTTGTTACAATTACATTAATACTAACCAAACAATCTACAATATAATTTACAAGGAAACTAGGAAAACATTTCTTAAAATATGATGCTCAGTTATTTTAGAGGTGTGCAAGATTGAAAATATAAATCTCAATATTTTTATAATTACACCATATTTTGCCAAACGTGTTTTTGAGATAGTACCTTTTTTGCGTTAAGACTGCAATGTATAAGTAAATATAAAACTTAACCAACAGTAGGTGTCTGCAAATCCACATCTTAACGAATGATTCATTGACGAATGATTCACTTGACTTCATCATAAAAAAAAAATAAATAAAAAGTATCTCTCTCTTTATTTATTCCTTCTCTGTCTAGCTTGTACTTATTTGAACAATGTCTAAGAACTTGGTATTACAACCACTTCTTGTGTCTGTTTGCCTCTTTAAGAAGAATCGCTTTATGTATCCCCCAACTGTAAGTCGCTTTGGATAAAAGCGTCTGCTAAATGACTAAATGTAAATGTAAATGTAAAAGATTTGTTCAAAGCGGCTGATTCATTTAGAAACGAAGCTAGTGACGGTTGTCTTTATGAATGGGGCCAATGAATCACTGACTCAAATAATTTGTTCAAAAACACAGGAACATTCAGTAACAAAACACACTGTTGCTGGAGACGCACAAATGTTCTACTCCGGTGAAACAGAGCAAACAGACAACACTGTGACTAAACCAAAACTCACTTACAGTAATACTAACATCTTGTTTGCATAAAATTGTTGCATAAAATCAATTCACTTGTGATCGTGCTGATATTCAGGAAAACAACACCCTTACTCATGTGATATTATTTAAATACCGTGATACAAATATAAAAACAAGAGCTCTTACATTGCATTTTTGCCTCCATATATTAAACTATAACTTCATTCTAACAGCCTTTATCCTGTAGTGAAAGACTCTCAAGATGTGTTTTTGCTTGTTTTTTTTTGCAAACTGAGTTGCATAATGTCAGCTCGCACATTATTAAAACAATAATTACGATATTATAGTGGACAACAAATATCGCACACCCTCATCTTACCTACTTTTCCATCCTAAACTGTCTAGTGCATCACACAGTGTCGTTTAATATTGTACACTTTCCTACAGCCATGCGTTGTGATTAAACATACCGGTTCAGCTCACAGAACAAATACATTTCTTTCCGTTTCTCCTTAAATATCTGGCATTCCAGGTCAAATTTCTTCTTTTAGACATCTTTAAAATCACAAGATACTTCCAACACAAGCATCCTTACAACACAGCTATCATCAGTTATGTGCTGCTGGAGATTTTGGCGCCGCTTGATCCATATTGAGCTGTGTGTTTGTGTCCCGAGGCGTAACATCAACGCAAATAAATGAGCAATTTGTTCTGCTTTAAGTTAAAAATAAAACATTGTTGCGAATACACTTTTTATTGAATTTTCAAGATAATGTTTTATTTATTATTTTACATTATTGCTCAAATCATCCCATGGGCCGGATTGGACACCACGGTATGTTTGACACCCCTGATTTAAATGAATGCAATGTGATTTACTCATATTTACATTTTCTTTTTACTTTTCAAGTTTTAGTCACGTTTTGTTTTCATTTTTTTTCCAGGTTTATATACAGTAGGTCTTCATATAGTTTTAGTTTTTAAGTTTTAGTTTTCAGTTGTAATTATTTTAGTATTTCATTTTAAACAAAAATGAGAAATGCTGCCTTGTCAACTAGAATTGACAGAGCAGCCATCAATGAAACAGTGAAAACAGTGAAAGCTAACAGCGTGTTTCCTGATAATATCTCCCAAGGGTAACATGTAAAGAGTAATGGCCCTAGTACTGAGCCTTGAGGATCTGGTGGTTAACCGTGTCAAAAGCAGCGGACAGATCCAGCAAGATAAGTATTGAAGATTTGGAATCTGCTCTTGCCAGTCTTAGGGCTTCAACAACTGAGAGCAAGGCAGTATCGGTTGAATGTCCACTTCTGAAACCAGACCGGTTGCTGTCGAGGAGGTTGTTCTGTGTGAGAAAGGCAGAGACTTGGTTGAACAAAGCTCGTTCAAGTGTTTTTGCAATGAAAGGTAGAAGGGAAACCGATCTGCAGTTCTCTAAAAGAGTTGGGTTAAGGGTGGGTTTCTTAAGTAGTGGGGTTATACAAGCCTGTCTAAATGCTGAGGGGAAAACACCAGTGTGAATACAATTCAACAAATTGTAAACAAATAACAAATTGAAAACAATTCTACGCAATTCAAGTTTTTTGAACAACTTCTAATTTTTAAAAAGCCATGGATTTAAGACTTTTTAAAATACTATCATATAAACTACTCCACAGACACCCTGTAAACAGGTTTGATCCAGACATGCCAAATAAATCAAACCCTTTTGTCTCTGTCCTGTGGGATAGTCGAGGGCGTTGCAGAGAACCATCAAAGACCTGGACGTAAAGGTCTTTTTCCTCCAAGTCAATTACAGCTGCTTCAGGAAATATTGATGGGGGATTTTAAAACGCAGTGGGAATCCAACAAATCCATCCAGTGCATGGCACTGAGCTCCGGTGAATGATGAGGTGATGAGAGAGAGCAGCACTGGAGGTGGAGGTTGTGCACTATACGGCTCGGACACATGAACAAGACCGACACGTGTAAACAGAGTATTGATTGGGTGTTTAAGAGAGAGACTGAAGGACCTCTGCTCGCTCTCTCTGTGGAGGATCACGAATGCCGGCTGAGCAGACAGACAGCGTGAGCGGGAGAGGAGGCAGATCTGACAGCTCTCCGCCTGAGTGTGAGACAGACAGTGACATCTGTTAATTCTCTCGGTCCGTGTGAATGATGTGTGTGGATTCTGCTGCCCTCTTGGATCCCACATGTGCAATTACAGCCAGACGGTTATGCGGACCATTAACCACCTGCTGCACACTGCACTCAAAAATGGCGAGATCTGACTGATATCCTTTCACTTTGCTTCGTGCAACACCTGGGAATGAGCATATCAGTCACGACTCAACTTTGATGCATTGCCAACAATTTGTTAATGTTGCCTCAAACAACCAACTCTCAATATAAATTAATGTCTACAAGTTGTTTTGTTGCTCACTTAGTGTGAACAGCTGTGAATGCTTGACCTTGTCAATCTCTAGTATAAACTGGGTCTTGCTCTGATCGTTTCGGAATTAACATCTAGCATGCAAAATATACACAAAGTGCACACATTTGGATTTGAGAGAGGTACAGTAACATGTAGTTGTAGAGCAGTAGTTTCAGTTTCACTTTAAATAAATTTTTTAGACTTGGGGTTTATAATAAATATTGTTTATATTGAATGCTGCTATAATTTGTTAGTTTTATTCTTCTCTTTTTCATTCCTGTTCTGCTCTGAACGCCAGTAATTCTGAAGGATTTGTTGTGGAGTGAGGGGAACTAAATACCTTCCTACAGTGTTTTGTAAAAGTTTTATTTACCAGCATTTGAAATTATTTCTGATTGCAATCAAATCTGATTTCTCCGTGTTGTTTTCCAGAAAATGCTCATCAGCACTTATGCCGTTTTTCAGTACTTCGAATCCAAAGCAATGCTGGTATGAATCGCGATGTGTTGAACTAAAATGTTCAGAAGCACTGCTTCTGAAAGCAAAGAAGTGACAACTGAAAACTTGCAACTGCAAGAATCTGCATTAGAACGGCTCTGGCACAAACACGCATTCATGTGTGTGAAGAGCAGACGTTTATCAGCCTTTATCAGCCAGAGGACTGACAGACCATGTTCAAAAGAAGATTTCTATATGGAGCAGAGCTTCCCTCCAGCCCACACGAAGGGAAAAGCACAGATGACTCATCCTGATCACTTCTAAACTCCCAAACAGACGGCTGAGAGATCAGATGCTGTCATGGGATCACCGTCAGCTGAATCAGCACTGCATCACTGCATCTTCACTGACAATTAGAGCAATTATGCTTGGGAAACTGCACAACACAATGAGCAAGAAATCAGTGATGAAATGCTTTGATCCAGAGTGGATTTCATGGATACGTGAGCAAGAAGCAGATCATATTCAGTCCCTATGTAAGACACAATCTGTAAAAAGCTAAATAAAATCAAAAAGTGTTTTGAAATGAGCTCCATATTATCACCATACCATACTATATGAGCCATAAAAGCCTGATGTACAAATGCAGGACTGTCCCAAAATTGGGATCTTTGTCTCGCATCCTGCAAAACGTAAGCAGACTCCCGCATTCCGGATTGTTTTTTTTTTCTTTCTTGAAATTACACTACGACAATAAGAAATACAATAATATAAATGTGATTGCCATTAAAAAATCCATTTGTCCTAGCTAGACCGGGAAAATAACCAACCAACGCATGCATAGAGAGGATTTTTGTTCCACTGATGATGACTGGACGGAGCAAAGAAACCAGTTTGGACCTCATCAAAAGTCTTTAAACGCAGCTACAGCAGTCAGGACTTCAGCTAGACACGTATTGGATAAGAACATCCTGATCGAAGCTGGCAGATCCAACAAAAAAATACAAGTTCAAGATGCACGGAATCCGGTAAAACACATGTGATGTTTGCATAGTCTAATGAAGGAACATAAACTAGTCATTATTATAAAATGAGATTTTAACTACTAGCCTGTTATTCAGTTCATTATATTTAGTAGACTGAATAGATCCTGTAGAGTAAGTCATATAGTAGCCTATCACTTGAACCTGGGCAAATTGAGTGCCAGTAACAGAGCTTATAGACAGTTTAAAACGTTACACCATGGTCTGTCTGAATACTCGATTCTGATGGCTGAAATGTGTGCATTAAAACCGTGATGCACAGGCAGATTTAAGTCAGTTTAATCACCGTTCTATATTAATGAGCTGCTTTCATTGATGCACACACACACACATATCACTCGTACACAGAGAAACATTCAAGAGCACAGAAACGTGTTGTTAACACTGCCCAGCCACTTTTGTTAATAAAATAGCTTTAATACTGAATCACTACGTTATATTTCTCAGCAACGAGGAGGTAAAATCGCTGTTTTTGAAGTAATTAATCTCACAGCTTCACTGTTTGTAGAGAGAAAGATGAACAGACGCAGGTAATTCACACACACAACTTACATGCCTCTCTCTCTCTCTCGCGCGATAATTTATTCAAATAAATGTGATCTTACTGCACTATTTCATCTCTGTGTCTGATTTGAAGCGGGCAGAACACTAGAGCTAATGAGCCATAATTGTCAAAAAAAAAAAAACTTTATTTTTACACTTCCAATCAAATATTGCACTGCAAACATCATTAACAGCTTTAACTCGTCAATACTGGCAAATCACCATGGTATAAGTGGGATAATGCACGACTAGCTGTGTATTAAATCATTTTAATGTGCTCCGCTTCGCATCAGGTAGTTCTTTGCCTCCACGTTGTGCATTACATTTGTTTAGAAAATTGCCTTGCATTATCCCTTAATTATCTTCCAATCATCATCATTATTTCTATAGTCTAATGACTTTCTCTCTCTCACACATACCCTGCATTGTCCCGCAAAATCATTATTCTGAAACAGCAATAACCAAGTGGTCACCCTAGATATACCAACACAAAGCACACTTTTTATTTATATTTTGTCTACATATTCAATAAACTGTTCTATTTCAAAAAATGAGATTTGTCACTTTTATTTAATTTGTGAGGCTTTAAAATGTAAAACAAGGTCAGCCAGCTGACCCCTCTAGACCAACATGGAAATTCACACTGAGCCAGCATAATGTGTGCAAAATATAGTTTCTCACCCGCAGTCGATGGTCATCCGTATGAACCACTGTGGCCACTCGGATCAGAGCAGGATTCCTCTTGTCGACCACCTCCAACTTCATATTGTCACCTGGAGGGGTGGTGAGGGTCCTGCCGTTCTCTTGACACCAGCCAACCGGATGGATATAAAGACTTGTTGCATCACACCTGCAGAAAAGAAGAAACACACAAATGCATTTTAATGCATTTCATGCACTGTTTAAAAAACCCTGAATCCATTTTTCCCCATACATTTTTTTTTTTAATTGTTTAGGACAGACAATGCATGCATTAAAATACAATGAAATACACACATTAACACAGTTTTGCATTTCATCTGCACTAGTGGGTCACAACTTAAAAAAATATGGTGCACACATCTTTTTTGCCTGTCACAGACAGAAGGGCAAACCATTCTGATAAATCATAACCAAATAATTATGTGCAGTTAAGATAGCAACAAAAACCCATCTACTTTTAAAACAGAAGCAAAATGTATCTCTTGTCATTAACTGTAGGCATCATAACTACTTCATTTACTGTGGTTTAATGTCTTCCAAACGCTCAAAAATGTTCTATTTTTTTCTGTTCTGGCAGATAATGCTAATACATTTCGATATTGGATTTTAAGGACATTCTGATTTTTTTCTGGAGCATCAATATTTGAAGTGCTGTGTTGGGTCTGTACTCGGTCCTGAAGCAAAACTAGTCTGGATCTAACAACCCCTTCCAGCAGTTCTAGAATCAAGCTGACCAACCCCAGATCGCTCGTGACTAACAACATCTGATGTGGTTTCTGATGGCTAAAACAGAATTATGTGCCGAAACAGGCACCAGCTCTCCTGATCTCCTGAAATGATTTGTTGGAATAAAGTGAAACAAATGTGGGGATGAGATGTTCGGGGACCATAACGGCTGGACAAGATGTGCTCTTCTTGGGCTCAGTGCACAGAGCTGTCAGATGTGATTGTGTGATCTGAGCTGAAGACACAGAGTGTGTGCCTCTATCCTCCTCCTCCTGAGTAATTGATGAGCAGTTAAAAGCATTCTGCCTGCTCTACACACACACATATACAAAGACACACACTCAGCACAGAATGATAACTGGGTCACTCGTAAGAACGAGAACCTGCCCTATTTGTGTCCTCCGTGACTTACGACTGATATAATGAACAAGATACTCAACTTAGTCATTTGATAGATTTAAGCCTGTTCAGTTTCATCCATTTCATCAGCATTTCAGCCAATTTGTATGTTTGCAGGAGTTAAATAGAACAAAAAAATGATGCATTGATTCAAATTAAAATATTGATTTCATGTCGGCGCCGACTATCCCCTCACAATAAAGGCATAAAAAGCCCATAAATATACATAAAAAAAAAAAAAAAAAGATTTCATGTTGTTCACAGATGTGAGTTTCTCTATACTTTTTCAGTATTGCATTATTCATGAATATGTATATGTTCACCCTTATATTAGTTCAAAAGTGAACTTTATATTAGTGATTAGTTTTTTAAAGACAAGTAAGAAATATAAATGTAAATAATTATTTTATAATAATTATAATAATACTAATATTTATAAATGTGTAGTGATAATGTGGTGAAATTAAGAATAAAACTGAGTGATACTAACAGAATTTCAATGATATGACCATCAAACCATCAGGGTTGAAATAATGTTGTGCTTTAGAATTAGTGAGTAAAAATCACTTTTCATACTTAACACTTTCTTACAAGTTTTGGTGCATTTGGCTTGTTAACAAAGCTACTGCATGTATTGATAAAAATAAAAAAAACGTATAGAAAGTCTTTGTAAAATGATGTCCTGTCCATAGATAAATACAATTGTTCTCTTTCAGGGAAAGTCACAGCAGGAGCATAGCATAAAGACATGAATTCAAAGATGGGAATTTACCAGTAGTCATAACTTTCATCCCAGTTGTCAAAGTGCACCAGGAATCGACTCTCCACCATGTCTGTAATCGTGGCGACGCAGATGAACGAGGGATTCTTCTTATCGATGGCCTCCAGCTTCATACCGACCCTAAACCCTGACGGCGTCACGGTCTGAAAAACACAGCTTATCCATTCAGTCGGAATAACTTGCTCCTGAATTACTATATCAACCAATGATATCTTAGCAATTCATGACGCAATAAAATCCTGATGCTAAAATCAAGTCAAGTCTTAAATACATTTTCTGTTTCACTTGAACCTGTATCTACGTCCTACTAATGTGAAGTGTTTAAACATAGGTTAAATGTGCCGTGGATGTCCTTGTCTTAACTTGGTCTTGTTTAAATGCTTCATTGCTTGAAGTGAAACAGTGCCATCTAGGGGAAAATGGGACACAGTTCCTATGGCTTCATCGGGGGTCATGTGATGCTCTCTCTCACCATGTTCTGGTTCTGAAACAGGGCTTTGGGTGCGGTCTGTATTTTATTTAGTTTGAAGTAGGAGGACCAGCTGAACTCTTCATCCTTCATCCCTACAGAAACACAAAAACCACACGGGCCATGTGAGAAACAGTGGCACATACTGCTACACATTAGTCATGAAAGTGAAAACAAAAGTATAATTTTACAACCAAAGCTGCTTGAATTGTATTCTGGGTATTCTGCGAATGGCTGGTGTCTCTTACCTTTCGGTGGATGCAACTTGTGTCCGGTTTTCTCGCACCATCCCACTGGGTGAATGTCAGGAGAGCTGGAATTTACCCAGAAGTCATAGCAGTCTGAATACTTATCAAAATGCAGTCTGATTCGATGTCCTAACACCTGCAAATATGCGCGAGTGAGCCACAAGATGGACAAAAGTGATCATGTAAAGTAACATAACAGTAAAATATCATATTACAACTCATTTTTAGTCAATATTAGAGTTTTGGTTGTTACCTCAGCGATGGTAAGGACGCAGTACATGGAAGGGTGTTCAGAGTCGATACCCTCCAGTCTCATGCCAACCCTAAAGCCATTCTTACACTGTGGAAATGACTGATACTGTGCGCGCACACACACACAAACACACACACACACACACGTTTGTTTCTGTGAATTTTGGGAACTTTCCATAAACTTCTATTACTTTTATACTGACCAAACGATATTTTCTATCCCCTAACCCAACCCTTACAGAAAACCTGTTTGCATTGTTACACTTTTAAATAAACATAATTTACTATTTTGAATATTTTTTTCCCCTCGTGGGGACTGCAAGCCACAATGTCAAAAATGTCAGGTTTTACCATCCTTGTGGGGACATTTGGTCCCAACAATGTAGCATAAACAAGTACACACGCACGCACGCACGCACGCACACACACACTCACACACGCAACACGCTCACACACTCACTCACTCACTCACACACACACTCACTCATTCACTCGCACGCACGCACGCACGCACACACACACACACTCACACACTCACACACACACAGACACAAATGTGACCCTGGACCACAAAACCAGTCATAAGTGTCACGGGGTTGGTGAGCGCACGAGCGCACGACGAAGGAGTAGGAGTAAAGGAGTATTTTTAATCAGCATCAACCACATAAATCATTGAAAAATAACATTAATCCAGGACAAAGGAATGACAGAAACTGAGGGCTTATAAAGGGCAGGCAACTAAGGAGCAAACGAGATGATTAATACAACAAAGGTGGAAACTAATGAATGATGTTTAACTAAATGAGCAGGAAATTAATCAAATAGGGGCAAACAGGAACTAAACAGAAACCAACTGTCCACACACACACTCACACACACTCACACACTCACACACACACACACAAACACACACTCACACTCACACTCACTCACTCACTCTCTCACTCACACACTCACTCACACACACACGCACACACGCACACATGCACTCACTCACACTCACACTCACACACTCACGCTCACACGCTCACACACACACGCACCAGTTATACACTACTTACACAGCTCAAGATGCACCATACAGATGTTCGCTACTACAGGTGACTAGTGATTCTGTTACAGTGTATTCAGAAAATATTCAGAACCCTTCATTTTTTTTACATTTTATTTTGCAACCTTATGATAAAAAAAAAAACATTAAAGGGATAGTTTACCCAAAAATTTAAATTCTGTCATAATTTCCTCCTCACTTCTGTCATTTCAAACCTGTATGGCTTTTTTTCTTTTGCAAATCATAAAACACGATATTTAGTGTTGGTAACCAAACTGTTTTGGAGCTGCAGTAAATGGTCTGCAAATATTTCCAAATATGAAGTCAGATGCAGCTTCTGAAATAAAAGCAAGGCCATCGTTGCCTAAAAGTTTATGTGTAAAAAATTCCATGTTGAATCAAATAGAATACTTATTTCTAAAGCTTCTTTTTATAATGTCTGCTTGATCCTTTTCCCATTTGACACAATAATGACTTTAAATGATCTTTTGGAGCGTAATTTCTCAACCAAATTTTATATGTAATTAATTAGATTAAAATTTTTAATCGCTTGACAGCCCTAAAAATATAATAAACAAAAACTCTACACTGGTGCATCACTAGATATTCATGTCTGTATCAAAGTGGAATCAAAGGTTGTGTTCTTTCATAACAGTGTCACTGAACACTAGTGTGTGTTGTCTCACCTCTTTGAAGAGTTTACTGGGGGCAGCGACGGCTCTCTCCTGCTCCAGGTACGAGGCCCAACACCACGCCTTCTTCTTGCCTCCGTACGGAACCGCTGCATCATGAGAAACAGTCACAGGTGTCATAGAGTGTCAGACAGGTGTCACACAGCCATCTGCTGCCCACAAGTGAGTGAGTGAGTGAGTGTCTCACTGTATCTGAGCAGCGCTGCGTCTCCTCTGCGTTTCTTGCGGCCTCTCGTCGCCCCACGTGCCGGTCGCCTGCTTTCTTTCTCTTCCTGCTTTACACACACACACACACACACACACACACACACACACACACCCCCTCACCCACACACACACACACACCCACACACACACACACTCTCTCTCAAACACACACACACACACACTCTCT